TATCAAACATTATTATTACATACTTGCTGTTCTAGTCGCATGACATATCATTCTTTGGATCATAACCTATCATAGGTTAAGGCTTATTCATTCACCACTTCATTATGGAGTCATGACCTTCTCCTTCCGAACAAAGGTCAAGATCAAACCAACTTGAGAGTTCTTCATTGCGTGGGTGATGTCCCTGTCCCCTTCGGAATGATAGTTCATAGATCCTTGTTCATTTTTATCCGTATAGTCATTGGATCCAGCAGATACCGCATGGCTCTAACCTCTTTATACCTATGGCGTACCTTTCCACTACCTTGGTAAAAATACACTTTGGGGCTAACTTGCTCCGAATTCAGATCCGTTTGCACCGTTGGATTTGTCTCGTCAAACCCTACATAACATTACAATTTTATAATTCATTGACAAGTATTTATAATTAACTCAAGTTCCATCTCAACAATTAATTAACTATTTTTAATTTATTAATTCTGATAGGCGGGTTTTAGGGTGTTACATTTCTCTCCCCTTAAAAATAATTTCATCCTCGAAATTACCCAAGTCATTGGTCGTTGAAGATCTAAAGATACTGGGCTCTTATGGACTCCTTAGTCTCCCAAGTTGCTTCTTCCATGGAGTGATATCTCCAAAGCACCATGACCAAGGAAACAGAGTTGTTACTCAGTTCCTTCACCTTGTGCACCAATATCTGAATGAGTTCTTCCTTATAAGATAGTCTCTCGTTGAGGGTGACAGCTCCCTCAGGAAAAAAGTGGGGTGGATCTGGACAGTATCTTCTTAGCATGGACACAGTAAACATATCGTGAATCTTATTCAATTCTGGAGGTAACTGTAGCCGATAAGCTACTGGTCCCACTCGCTCAATCACTCGATAAAGTCTAATGAATCGAGGGCTTAGCTTACCCTTCTTACCAAATCTTACAATCTTCTCCCAAGGTGAAACCTTTAGGAACACAAGGTCGTTGACGTTGTACTCTATCTCCCAATGCTTGGTGTCGACATAAGACTTTTGACGATTTGAAGAACTCTGCAATCTGTCTCGAATCAATTGGATTTTCTATTTTGTTTCACGAACGAAATCACTTCCTTCAAGCTTAGGCTCACTCAGTTTGGTCTAACACATTGGGGTTCTGCAATGTCTCCCGTACAGTGGCTTGTATGGAGCTATCTGAATGCTAGCTTCATAGATGTTATTGTAAGCAAATTTCATCAGTGGTAGGTATCGCTCCCAACTATCTCTAAAGTCAATGACACAAGCTCTCATCATGTATTCTATAATCTGAATTGTCCTCTCTTAGTGACCATCAGTATGAGGCTGAAACGCTGTACTGAAGTTGAGCTTCTGTAGGCTCTTCCAAAACCGGGATGTGAATCACAGATCGCGGTCCGAAATGATAGATAAGGTCACACCATGCAATCTGACAATCTTTCAAATGTACAGTTCAGCTAACTTTTGCAATGAAACGACTCGTCAGATCGGTAAGAAGTGGGCTGACTTCGTCAATCGGTTCACAATAACCTAAATGGCATCGTTCTTCTTGCTCGATAATAGACGTCCTATCACAAAATCGATGGTGAATCTTTACCATTTCCACTCGGGAATAACTAGTGGGTGTAACAGTTTACTGGGTACTTGATGTTTGGCTTTGACTTGCTGACAAGTCAAACATTGGGATGTAAACTCTAAAATTTTCCGTTTCATGGTCAGCCACTACTAAGAACTTTTTAGATCTTGGTACATATTGTTGCAACTAGGATTCATAGTGTACACAGTTCCATGAGCTTCACCTATCAAGCACTCCCTCACTTCACTGTTTGGCATCACTAGGCGATTCTGATAAAATAAAGTTCCGTTACTATCAATGGTGAATTCTTATCTCTCCCACTTAGAGACAAGCTCGGAGGTCTTTAAGCAATACTCATCCTATTCCTACGCTGCGCAGATCTCACTTTCCAAAGTGGGTTGGAGTCAAAGTTCTGCCATGGTCTTCTAACTCAAGGCATCGACCACTATTTTGGCATTATAATCGTAGTCCTTAAACTCTAACTATCATCTTTGTCTCAAGTTCGGCTCATTCTGAGTCAGTAAATATTTCAAGCTCTTATGGTCCGGGTGTATGTGAGTCATCTCACCAAAGAGGTAGTGTCGTGAGATCTTTAATACAAAAACAATTGTAGCTAACTCAATTTCATGCGTAGGGTAGTTACCCACATGTGGCTTCAATTATTGGGAGGCGTAGGCTACAGCCTTATTCTCTTGCATAAGCACACGACCAAGTCCAATGTGGGATGCATCGCTAAAAACTGTGTAGTCTACTTCTGGCACTGGATGTTGAGCACTGTTGCCTTGGTCAGACACTTCTTTAGTCGCTAGAATCTTTGTTGACAAACACCAACTCATGCAAATTTAACGTCCTTCCTCAGAAGCTTATTCAACGGGGATGCAATAGAGGAGAAACCTTCAGTGAATCATAAGTAATATCTAGCTAAGAAGATAAAGCTCCTCACCTCTCATGCATTCCTTGGATTCTTCCACTCTGCAATGGATGAAATCTTGCTTAGATCTACCTTGATACATTCCTTGGAAATCACATGTTACTGTCTGTAGATGCTTGATGTAAAGCTTGTGCTCCCTTACCACACCAAGTACTTTCTGTAGATACTTTGCATGATCCTATGGTGTTTTAGAATACACCAAAATGTCATCGATGAAATCCACAACGAATTGATCCAAGTAAGGACGACATATGATGTTAATTAGATCCATGGATATCGCTATGGAATTAGTTAACCCAAACGACATTAGTATTGTTCATAGCATGTCCAAAAAGCAGTCTTCAAAAGATCCTCCTTCTTAACCGGAATTTGATGATATCCCTATCAAAGGTCAATCTTGGAGAATACAATTGCTCCTCAGAGCTGGTCAAATAAGTCATCAATCCGTGGCAAAGGAGATAGGTTCTTAAGAGTAACTTTACTCAGTTGTCTGTAGTCGATACAACGTCTCATACGACCATCCTTCTTCCAGACAAAGAGAACTAGTGCTCCCCATGGGGACACACTCAGCTTAATGATTTATTGGCGAGTAATTCATGGAGTTGAGTTTTTAGCTCCTTTATTTCTGAGGGTGGCATGCGGTAAGGTGTCGCAAAGATAAGTTGTATTCTCAAAACTAGGTCAATAGAAAATTTCACCTCCCTCGGTGGTGGCAAGGTTGCCAGGTTGTCTCAAAACACGTTAGAAAACTCGCATACAACAGGAATATCCTTCTAGTTGGGTGTTTTCCTTCGTGTGTCACGAACATTGAAAACAAAGGCTTCACATTTCTTGAAAATGAGGTGCTTCGCTTGCATGAAGGATATAAACTCTAGCGGCTTGGGGAACAGCTCCCCCTTAACTTCTACGACTATACCTTCATTGGGCTTCAGTCATAGGATGCATAGTCCACAATCGATTATAGTTTGATGTTCGGTTAACCAATCCATACTAAGGATAATATCAAACTTCATGTATGGCAGTTCTATAAAATGGACAGAAAGTTGTTGTCCATGAGAGGTCAATGGACAGTTACAAAATACATGATGAAGCCTCATGATATGTCCTAAGGGATTTGGCTCTATCACAGGGCATTCTAGATCATCTCTTTGGATTTCAAGTTACTCAAGCATAGGAAAGAGAATATAGGACAATGTGGAACCTGGATCAATTAATTCAAGTATATCAAATAACAAGAACATACCCAAGATGATGTCTCGGTTAAATTCAGTACCAATGATAGTGTGAACTCCTATTTTGGTCTTGAAAGACTTATGACTCTTATTTTGGTATTCTCATAGTTTTTTACTCCTATCTAGGGAGTTCTCCCTTAAAAGTACATATATGTAATTTTTAGGAGCAAATTTCAGAATTGGTTCTTTATAATATGTGATTTTCCATATTTAGTAATCTATTATCAAATATTAACTCTGTGGTCCTTCTTTTTATGGGTATCTTTCCACAAATTGATCTTTTTTTTACTTTATCTCATTTTGGTGTTTATTTGAAAGCTAAAAGTGTAATTTGAAATCAACCACATCTGTATGCTATGGTTGTAGTAGGAAAGTGAGTGCGGTTCACAAACGACCCATCAAAAGTGGCTTCTGAAATTGCGTATGACAGAAAAGATATATGATCATTGTGAAATTATACTTTTACATCTCAAATTAACACAAACTCATGACAAAATGTCAAAACAAAGACTATTTGTAGAAGGGTTCCTATAAAAAGACAACATAAGCAATACTTTATAAGACTAAATAAGGAAAACCTCTGTTATAAAGAACCAATTATAAAATTACTTATTTTGAAACAACATTATTCAAACACGTTGGGTGGGTTCACGATCGGTCATAAGGTTCGAGTAAAAAAATGACGAATGTAGCTAAATAACACTAAAACTTAATGATTTTTTCTAAATAGTACTACCTCCGTCCCATTTTATAACGCCTGTTTCAGTTTACGATGTTTGACTGAAATTATTTTCAAACCATTTTATATGACAAATGGTATAGAATTAAAAAATAAAAATTACATATTAAAAAACTATATCAAAAGATTTACAAAACTAGTAGTGACAATAATATTTTATTTTATCAAATTACTAACGAAAATAGAGAAAGAAAGTAAATAAAGTTTGACCATGTAAATAGTAAACAGACATTATAATTTGGGACGAAGGGAGTATTATATGTTTTTATTTCTTAATGTAGCACTTTTAGTCATTCTCCAATAGTCATTATTCAAATAAATGTTCACCATCACTGAATATATTTTTTTTCCTTCTAGATATTATTAAGTGCTATTTAAAAAATAAAAAAAATTTAAATGCTACATTGAAAAATCACCTATGTTTTAGTGTTATTTAAGGCAAATACTTCTAAAAAAATCTTTCAAATACTGGAATGATTACCATCGGAGTGCCGGATTTGGGTGCAAACCTCAACAACCATTAAATAACCGGAAATTCATTATTGTATAAAGAAAGAAGAAAGACTTAGGCACTCAAATGAAGAAAATAAAAAAAGTGGAAAGAGTTCTCTTCAACATTACTTCTCATATGCATCATAGGAACATGCTAAACAGGGAACCAAAGAAATAAAAATACTTTGGCAGACCATCATAGAAGAGGGCCATCACACTTTCTTCATAGCCAAAACAGCCCCCATCCCCAGCATTTACATTTTTAGATTTATAATATTACTACTAGAAAAAATTACTACAAATTATGCATAATTTTCCTCATATATGTATAAGCCTGGTCTCTCTTCCTGGAAACCATTTCCTTTCTAGGCTTTTTTTTGTTCCTTATAAAATATCCATTTATTCTTCTTCCTTCATGTTATGCATAAGCAGCAGCAACTGTACCTAAACTGTAGCCCTGTGGAGAGGATTTGGTAGGAGAAGATGAAGATCTTTTCTGATCTTTCTTCCTCATGGCTTTCATGGATGCAGAAAGATTCAAACTTTTCTCCTTGGCTTCATCCTTTTCTATCTGTTCTTGCCTGCACTCTTCACTACAGAATGGCATGTCCCCCCTGCAAATTCCCCAGATTTTTTTATTTCATCAGCTTTAAAGATCAGATCTTTTTTTAACAGAAATCAGATCTTTTTAATACCCAAAGATGAAATCTGGAAGAAATTTAATTTTAATTATAAAATTAGGCATGAAATGAAATGCAGATCTTGTTTCTGGTATGTTGAAGTAAAGAAAAGAATGGGTTTGACCCAAAATAACTGACTCTAAACTTGTGGAATTGATAAGAAGATGCAAAACTCAGTTTCTATTGAACTTTTAGTCCATAATGGCCTGTACACAGATTCTTCATTTCATCAACACTAAAAATCAGATCTTTTTGATTACCCAAAGACAAAACAGGAAGAAATGAATCTTTTAGTTACAAAAAAAGTTAGACAAGAAATTAAATGCAGATTTGGTTTCTGGTATGTTGAGAGAAAGAAAAGACTGGGTTTGGCCCAAAATAACATAATTCTAGAGTCTAAACATGTGAAATTATAGAGAAGATGCATAATCCAATTTTTTTAAATTGAAATTTCACTTAAAGATCTTATTGACCCAAAATAACTGCACTCTGAACATGTGAAATTGATAAAAGTATGCAAAACCCAGTCTTTGATTGAACTTCCACTGACAGATCATGAACTTGGAATTCAAATATAAAAGGGCAATGCAAAAAATTAAAATATCAGCAGAGAAATTCCAAAAATCCAACTACATTAAAATGAATTGACAAACAAACCTGTACATGAAGATGTCCCTATTACCCAGAGGCTTTCTGCAGAGGAAACAGGAGTCCAAGAAATGGGGCTGATGAGCCTCTTCAAATCTAGCCTCACCATAGAAGATTCTTCCACCAAATCTAGGTGAAGAGGCAAATGAAGAGGAGAGATTTCTAAAACTGCTCCTCCTCTGCAAATAGAGAGGCCTAGAGATCAGACTCCCAGTACTGATCTTACACATATGGTTGTTCCTCTGATTTTCAGAAAACCCAGACTCAAGATCTGGAACTATGGAGGCCAGCCCACCATCTTCCTCCATGAAACAATGCTTTCTCCTCGCTTGTTGAGTGGGAGAATCCATCTCTGGATTCTGATGAGTTTCTTGAGGACAATGGGTGTGGGTTTTGGAGAGAAGAGGACAGTTGGGCTATTGGGGTATTATTTATAAAGAAAAAAAATAGGAAGGAAAATAAAAAAGAAGAATGGAAAGAGAGGTGGAAACCGCGGCGGTGGTCCGTGCAAAAAGTGAATCTATTGGCCGGTGATGCATTTGCATTTGTATCCTTGTCATTGCAGCCGGCGTATCTGCTTGTCCGATGCAAATCCCTTTTTACCCTCGGGGTTGTCATTATTTACATCCTTACATAGCAATTACGAGTACTCCCTCCGTCCCCCAGTTTTTGTCTACTTTTAACTTTTGGAACTGTTCATCTAAGCACTTTGACTCATCAAATTCTCTCAATGTGTAACCTTAAATATAGTCATGTGTGATCTTGTTTGATTTGTTTTAACATATAGATTATTAATATATAATTTCTATAATTTTTTAATATACAAATTACAAGATAAAATGGATTAAAGAAATGCATTGGATGGTGTGTAAAAATGAAAGTGGACAAATATTCAGGGACGCAGGGAGTATATAAAACGAACTTGCTCCTTCTCATTTTAAGTTATAGATTTTTATTTATTTATGATGTTCCACTAATTTTTAAAATTAATTTAAATGAAAATTAGGTCAAATTTAAAAATAAAATTTATATAATTTTTTGTTCCAAAGTAATTCCCCATATTCGAATGACCTATAATTTTTTTGATTTTTAAAATGATTTTATATACAAATTAATATATAAATAAAAAATTACTCCGTATATAAGAGCCATAATATTAAAAATATAAACAAAAAAAGTTATACACAATTCACCCACCATAGGACCTAAAAGATGCAAAATGATGATTTTAAGAGTTCTATTATATGACATTTACAGGAGCGGGACCTAAATTTTCCCAATTTTAATTGCCATTTTGCCCTTTTCCTTTTTGTTTTTTTCATTTTTATTGATATCTTTGCATAATTAGAGCAGTTGGTATATTCCTCACGCCCACCGGCGTTACGGGACGTTTAATGCCCCGGGAGCGTTAATGTAACACCCTAATCCGTCCAGGTCTGCAGCCCCTTTCGGACTAAAGTATTTAACTTGGTAATCGTAAAAATTTAAAACTTTTCAAACACACTTTATTAATCTCAATAATATTTTTCATAACATATACAGTACGGAGTATTCAACAATATTGCGGAAGCGAATTTAATATTGATATATCATAAATAATTTCAAACTTGTCACATCCATCCCGACAATCTCGCCCCATCTGCCACCAGGATCACATTGTTCTTTTTGTTTACCTGCGTGTAGCAAATAAAACACACTACACGCTCAGCGGTAAAGCTGAGTAAGCATATCTAATGCGTCGAACATCCATATAAGCTGAATCTAAATTCATAATCAAATCATTTGATATCATGCACACAATGTTCATTTCAATCATTCACAGTTTTGGTATTGTTCAATTCATATCAACACATTTTATTCAATTCAGATACTATTTCAATAGTACTCTTAAATTATTCTTAATCTAAGGCCAGATCATAACAACGCTCTTAGCTATTCTTAGTCTAAGCCCAAATCATAATAATGTTCTTAGCTATTCTTAGTCTAAGGCCAAATCATAATTTCCATAACCAGATTCTTAAAAGGCAATTATTAATCAGACACTTAAACTATCATTAGTTTAAGGCAATTGATTTCGGACACTTAACTGTAGTCAATTAAGGCAATCAGACACTTAAACTATCATTAGTTTAAGGCAAATGATTTCGGACACTTAACTGTAGTCAGTTAAGGCAACAACAATATAGCGAATGGTCAACATTGGATTGGCATTCCCAAACGAGTAATCCTCTAGTTTGGACTATGAATCCCGTTTATGCATTTTTATCTAATCCATCAATCTAGCTAATATGTATATCTTAAAGTCTTCTAGATATCCTTACCAGTACACATCATTTTCTTGTTGATCAATTTATTCATTTTAAATTATGTTTCGATGATTCATAATCATAATTTAATTCAAGATAGTCAAACAAACATATCTACTCATAATTTCATCTTTACGGTTCTTTCGTTCAATTCCATATACTTTTATTTGTCATAATAAAATCATAATCGTTATGTAGTCATAATCACTCGGGTCGTCCATTTGATCGTCATAATCAATGTTATTATCAATGATATTCCATTATCAATTATAATAATAATTTATTCAGAATATTATCAATTTGATCATAATAGTCATAGTAACATTTATTAACAAATAGCGGCCTAGTGTTGAGTGTTAACACCCTAGCTTACCGTCATGCATCAAATAGGGATTTTAAATCTCTCAAAACATTATTTTTATTTACAGAAATCATATTCATATTGTTCATAATTGATTGGTTTCAAAAACAGGATTTACTAGTTCAAAAATCGGGTTTTCGTAGCATTTTCTAGTTCTGGACGGTACCTGGTACGGTACCTCAGTACCGTGTCACGGTACCTCGGTACCGACCGCCAGATACCGTGAGAGAAACACAATGAAACGGTAGGGAGGGTACCGTGTGGACGGTATAGCCTACCGTGCCGGCGGTACCTAGGTACCGTCCGGGCGGTAGGGTGGTACTGTATGGTGCGTAACTTTTAACAGTGTCATCTTCAACCTCGGGCCAAGTTTCAAAAATTCCATTTTTAGTCCTCAAACTTCAATTAAACTATATAGAAATGTTCTCCAAGGTTCATAGATCATTTTGGCATCATTAGTTCATAGTTTTAACATCAATTTAATGGTTTATGATTCTTGGTTCTTCAAGCATGTCAAATACAAAACTCAATCAAATGACCGTTTATGAACGTAGAAACGATCTATATGAACATTCTAGTCACTAGATATATCTACGGGCTTACCTCGAAGGTTTTGGAAATTTTCCGGCGAAACTTCCGACGATGATTACTCCCACCAACTCAAGTGGCTTCGGCGGCAACCAACTACTACAGAATGTTCTTCTCACTCTCAAGGTTCTAATGGCATTATTTTCATAAAGAATGGTGAAGAAATGGGTTGAGGAGGAGTGTCCTTATATAGGTAGATAGATAGGAAGAAGTCATTGGAGTTTCTTGTAGCTTATGCGTCATTTGAACGGCTGAGTGGGAGGGACGGCGAATTCCTACGGATTTTAAACGTAAGTCCCTGATTGGGACTAATTTCGGTCCCAGTCGGGGTACACTTTTTAGTTCAACTTTCTCCGAATTGAAATCCGTTTGCACCATTGCGATCAGACAGTGAAACTCTATCCGGCGATATAACTTTTATATTTATCTATAATACTTTTTCCGACATCATATTTTTGGGTGGTTGACTTTGACAGAGTCAAAATTGGTTTAATTGACCTTCATTCAAAAAGGTTCTCTCATTTAATTCATATCATTTATTCCCATGATTTATTTCAATAAATCATTACAAAGTACACATCATAATTAATTTCTTTATTTATTCTTGATTTGAGTCTATGCTCAGGTTCCCAATCAAGACCACACAAATAGTCAACATATTGGATTTATCTCTATGAGACTTATCCAGATTTTGATATTGGATATTAAAACATATTTCATATCGGCCCAAAGCCCAACAAAAATTTATTTTTAATCAAAACAAATTTGATTAATTGATTATTTATTCATTAATAATTCTAGGGTATATTTCAGGGCGTTACATTTCTCCTCCCTTAAAGGAATTTCGTCCTCGAAATTCTTCTAAGGTCCATGATCAACATTTGTCGTAATTAATCGTGACAACGTCATGTTCGCATGGTTACATCTCATAGATACGCATTCTCAAATCGTTGATGTCACCAAACTCGTTCATTCTTAGAAAGATTAACAAACTTTTGATTAAGCAAGGTCTTCACTGATCCTTTGATGACAAAAGTTCCTTCATAGTGTATAGTATTGCATACTTGACATATTTGTACATAACTTCATTCAATCACGAGTCTCATGTGTACGTCATCAAAATTGATTGAAAATTTCTTCAATATCTTTTGTAGAAAGGTCACGATAGGCATAGTTGGAAACTTGGAGGTTATTTCAATTCATACGTCGTAACGTAATCTTTTAAGTTATTCAAGGGGTCGTTGTCTTTAGCACAATAGCCATTTTGACTTTTCACCTTGGATTTGAGCGTATTTCAAGACAGCAAATCTAACTATTCATGAATCTCGATATGTCATATCGTCAGCCGACTGTAGTATTAGCGAGTACGTCATTGTTAGTAGGAAATTCGAATCCATCTTTGCTGTACAAATTTCGACTAAGGATAACTACCCCTTTTCAAAGGTCAGGTTTTCAGAGCCTATATATATCACGATTGTGGCAAGAGTACCTCACATTCTCATATTATGGAAGGAACTTCTCGAACTTTTCCTTACACCATAAAATTCGTTGGTCTACTTGGTAGTCATGCTCTTGGTAGAAATCCAAAGTTCATGGCCACGGCAGTGGATTTAGGAAGGGAATTGGTAAGGCGAAAAATTAGGCTTACCTATGGAGGAGGCAACGTTGGCCTTCAAGGAGCTGTTGCTTCAACAGTCTATACCAATGGTGGTATAGTTAGAGGCTTCATACCAGGGTACATAGCAACACGACAGGTCTACGGACCTACATATGGTGCAGAGTACACCGTTTCCAGCAATTACTATATGTACTTCGAAATGAATCATGTTGTAGAAGCTTTCATCATACTTCCCAGGGGAATTGATACTATGGAAGGTTTGTTCACTTTGATCTCATGGGCATCCGAAGGGTTGCACAGTAAACCCATTCGTCTCTTGAACATCGACAGTTATTTTAATAACCTAATCAAATTTTTAGATGACGCGGTGAGGCAGAACTTCATGGCTTCCAGTCAGAGAAAACTTTTCATCTCTTCTTTCTTTATTGATGAGCTTTTAGACAAGCTAGCATTTGCTAAAGCTTTTCCGGGTCCTAGGGTTAGTTATGACGAGTTTGTAAATCCTGGGGCATTGGACTTAGAGTTGCATTTGTAATATTATTTTGTGTAATTTGAGTTGAATTTATGTTGGAATAATATTCTCCATGAACATTATAAGTTAACCATAAATATTATTCTAAGCTGCATGGTGTTGAAACACGGGTTTATCACGTTTTCGTACTAAAGCCGTGTTCGTTGTTATGACAGGTTTTGATAATGCCAAACCGCCGTGAACGAGACAAGTCGTTGAATATACAAGGCGAGAAATAAATATAAGAAGAAAGCAAGAGAACAAGAGCTAAAAGAGACCAAGAACGAAGACCGTAGTCTTTAGCGTCGTTGAGTCGGTCACAATGTGATCAAGACCGACCCAAGCTTTACACTTTGGCTCTTTAGGCTAAAACTTTTCTCATTGCATTTTACATATCATCAAAACTATTTTCAAACATGCTTAAACATATTAAAAACACTTGGTGTTCGCCCAACCCAAAAACCAAGCCATCCGGGGTTCGGCTTTCGGAAACCGGTGTTTGGCATTCGGTTATCGGCGTTGGTTTTTGGCGTCCGAACCAACCAAGTGGTTTTCAACTTCTTATGATTAGTTTTTACTTCTGGGAACTTTCCATAAAACAACACTTCAAAAACCACCTATCGTTTTTTGTCGATTGATAAAAACCATGCGAAACGGCATAAACTTGGCTAGCCGTGGTTTTTACTTAATTGAAGTGGTTTTCGAGTCTTTTTGTGTGGGAATTGTTTTTGAATGCATTTAAATGGTTCTCCAATCAAAACATCATGAAAACCACCTTTCGGTTTTGTCTTTTGGTAAAAACCACCCGTGTACGGCATTGACTTGGTCAACCGTGGTTTTTACCTTAACGACGTGGCTTTCAACTTAAAACGCTTGTTTTGACATCACAATACATTAAATAAGTGTTTTATATACTTAGTTTTTACTTTGGAGAACTTTGCATGTTTTGACATCATAAAGCCATATTGCCCAAACCGCAAGGAAAAGAAGAAGAAGGAACGAGCATACATGGCATGGGATTCGGAAAGTTCCGGTGACAAAACCGCCACCTTATGTCTTATGGCTCATGAACGAAATGGAGAGGTAAGTACTTCTAACTTTTTCTCATTTGAAGAATTACAAGAAGCCTTTCAAGAATTATTTGGTGAATTGAAGAAAACTTCAAAAATTGCCAAAGAGGCTAAGGCAAAAATTCATGCTTTGGAAGAGGAAAATAAATTTTTGGAAAATGATAATTTTGACCTCAAAAATAAAATTAAGGCAATGAATGAAGATTCTTTCTTTGACCAAAGTTTTACTTGTTCCTCTTGTGAGTCTTTAAAAGTAGAGAATGTAGAACTTAAAAGCACCATTGAAAAAATTAAGGTAGAAGAGCCTAAGAAAATTTGTCAAGAAGTTAAGAATGATAAACCACCTAGAAGAACGAATAATCCTAGGTATAACAAAATTAATTTTAGAAAGAATAAAAGTAACAAGGTGAGACAACCTCGAATTGACTCTAGGATTTTTACAAATGGTAGAAATATTTTGAGACAACCTATAAATGAGTCTAGGAATTTAGTTAATAATTCTAGGAATAATGATTTTAGATCACCTAGAAAGTTTTTGGCTCAACCTAGGCATATGCATAATCCAAACGTAGTATGCCATTATTGTTCTAAGATAGGACACATAGCTCCCGTTTGTTTTGCTAAACATAGCGTATATAGTTTACTCAACATCTACTCTTAAAGAGAGTCTTGTTCTTGAGTGTTCTTAGTGTTGTAAACACGTTTAGGGAAGCTTGTTTCCCTTGGTTGTACAAAGGAAAGGTATTTTCCTTCGGGTTGAAGTCTTGGAGTGCGGTATGTCCGAGCAAGTGTATTGAGGCTCGTGGGACTCGAGTTCTCAGGTTGTAACGGTTTGTTAAGCACCCGTAAGCTTAACAGAAGTAGTGTAGCTCGAGAGAGTCTCTCGGGAGACTGGACTAGCCACACATTGTGGTGAACCAGTATAAATCTTGGTGTGCTCCCTTTACTCCTTTTTATTCCGCTCTTTACTTTATCCCTGCGATTTTTATTCCGCGAAAATTTATAAACATTCTCGTGCCTCACTATTCACCCCCCTCTAGTGAAGGGCACTTATTCTAACAATTGATATTGGAGCCTAACTCTCTACAAGCCTTAACCAGTTGAGAGAACGATCTATATTTTTTTGTTGAGAATGTCGTATGCAGGATTAAGTAAAGGACACTCCACCATTAGACCTCCACTCTTCGATGGGACAAACTACACCTATTGGAAGGAACGATTGAGGATTTACATTCGGTCAATCAACTTCGAACTATGGTTAATCATCAAAAACGGTGAGACGATGCCAATGAAAAAGGTTGGTGAAACCACCATCCCAAAGAAGGAGGAAGAATATGATGCTGAAGACATCAAGAAGGTAGAAGCTTTTGAAAAAGCTAAACACATGATTTTTTGTGCAATTAACCCGGATGACTACCGGAAAATTTCTTCTTGCTCCACCGCAAAAGAAATGTGGGATAAGCTTGAAGTGACATACGAAGGTACGCCTCAAGTCCGTGAAGCTAAAATTGATTT